TATATATATATATATATATATATATATATATAACTAAGAGCTTAAAGTATTTACAATGGAAATGTCTTAAGAGTGTCTTAAAGTTGGACAAATGTATCTTATATAGTTGCTTAGAATAAAGAAATTATTCCACACTTGCTACATTCATCAATTAAAATAAAAATGTGAATATCTTATGAATTACTTAAAGTATTACCATTAAAGTGAAAGTGTAGTGAGTTACACAAAGGTAATATGACAATGTGGGACAAATAAAGTGATATAAGATACATCCATTGTGAATGTTCTTATTAGTTATAAGTTACTTCAATTAACTTATATAAATAAGCTATAAGTTCTAAAATAAACTCTTATATCAAACAAATTTATTTTGATCAAACTAGCTTTTAATCTAATCAAAAGACTTTATATACTTCTCAAATGTCTTGTCATATAGACTCTAAAAAGTATAAGTAAACTCTATAAATAAAATATATAACGATCACTTTACATTTCAACAACTAGTGCAAACATAAGTATAATTACCTTAGGTTAACATGCAACAGTTCCTAAATATATATACAACAATATAAATGTATAGGAAATAAACAATTGCAAATATAAACAACAGTTCCTCAATGACATCATGATACACACACATATACACAATAATCCAAACGGTAAACATAAAATTTTAAGTTTTCGATCAAGTAACTACTATCTACAAGTTGAATCAAAACAACACAACAAAACACTTCTATCTTCAGCATGACACCACGAAATCCAACCCATCCTCCAACCTAATATTACCCTGCTCTCATAATAATATAATCATTGCAGTCCAATAATATGAAAAATGCAAGGATAAACTCGTAAACTAGAAAACATCGTAATATAGAAACATATAATATTAACTGTAAAACAATTTCATCATCATAATACAACTACAACCCAACGTCCAGATTATCAACACATATCAACATACAACATAGATTTACAACTTACAACTTTTCAACATACAATATAGTATACATCTCACCATCATTTCCAACAATACAACTTATAAACATCTTAGCAACACAACAATGGGGCAGCATAACAAGACAATACATCATCACACATTTCTACTAAGAAATTTTTTTCAACATAGGTTAACATTCTAAAGGAGGTGTATTGAATTGAGATTTTAAAGGATTTTAAAAGATTTTTTTATTATAAAAAATTATTATGGTATTCAATCAATATTTTTTTATTATAAAAGTCATGTGATATTTAATTAAGACAATTAGGATTATTTTAAGAGTACGTCAAAATGTGGTGTATTCAATTTTTTACTTTCAAAAGTCTACTAGTATTCAAGAACATACAGATTTTAATGAATTATTTTGATGGATGAATCTTGTGAGACTTTTCGGTATAATTTACATATAATTTACTCATCCAACAATCTCACAAAAATTATTGAAATTTTGCATGACTTTTTTTCTTGTTTAATTCTGTTACTTTTTTTTTCTCCCTCGCCTTTATTGCTTCTCTCTCTTTTTCATCTCTTGCTCTCTTTATCTCTCTCTCTCTCACACACGCGTGTGTCTTCTCTTTTCTCTATCTTTCTCCCCTCTCTCTATCTCTCTCTTTCTTATCTCATCTTCTTTTTTCTCTCTCTTTCCTACCTCATCTTCTTTTTTCTCTCTCTCTTCCCATGTCTCTTTTATCTCATATTCTATTTCTCTTTTTTGTTTATTTTTATCATTTATTTCTTCTTTTTCTCCTATCTTTTTTTATCTATGGATATTTTTTTTGTTACATTTTTTATTTATCAATACTGATACATAATTTATCAATATTTATTTTTAATTATTAAATATTATATGTAGGTTAAAATTTTTAAATTATTAAAATTTAACAAGTGTTTTTCTCAATCTAATAAAGTTCTTTCAAATCTTATAAATTCTTAAGATACAAACCTATTAAAACCTTTTCAAATCTTATAAATTCTGAAGATACTAATCCATTAAAATTCATAATCTTGATTAAAAAAGTCTTTTAAAAAAATCTTTAAAATTATTACATTCTTACAAACTCTTTTAAAATTCACAAGGGTTTTTCGTGCTAAAAAAGTCTTATGAAATTTCAATCCAATACACCCCTTAGGTAACTTGACCTACCTAACCAATTTAATAACATGATCTTTTTGGGTTTGTTAGATCAATAAAAAATTTGGATATCAATTCACAACACAACACAATTTCTTAAATTTCATTACTTAAGCTAAGAAAGTCTAGTGTTTGTCAACAAGCATAACATAGCTTGAGTACAAGCAACTAATTATCATCGTGATACCATGAACCTTCCCAATAATCAATTAAGGATTTTACTCCTTAACTTTATTCCTTACTCAATTGGTCATTTATAAATTAGTATGACTCAATTTGACCCCATACAATATCAACTAAAGACTTAGAAGAGACTTAACACTCTGCTTTAAGAGACAATTATACTTAAGAAAGGTTTTTCAATAATTGGGTTCTCAAATTACCACAATATATATCCACATAATGTGATATTACACATTTCCTATAATCCTAAGTCTACAACACAACCCAACTACATGCATCATGTGTCTTATCAACATAATTCAACACTATAACATGCTTCTTATATATGTCATAACACAATACTACACACCAACATGCTTCTCATGCATTCACAACACAACACACAATATATATATATATATATATCATATTCATTCAACCTACTCATGCTCGTGTGGTTGACTTGTGCCCAATGCGCATGCCTAGCACCACTCACAGTAGTGAGGTAAAGAGCCTATGGCTTACTCATACTTGACGTCAATCCTCTTACGCTTGACAAAAATGAGATAGAGAGTCTCCATGTAATCCACATTGATACTACTAATCCTATGTCTTGCTTATGCTCAACTCCACTACTCTTGTACTTGACGTCATCAAGTCAGAGAGTCTCTAACACTCCCACGCCTAACGCTACTCATCTCACACTTGATGTCAATGAAGTAGAGAGCCTTTGGCACTCACACATGATGTTATCAACCCCATGCACGACAAAAGTAAAAGCGTCTCTAACTTTATTCACGTTCGATGTCACGAAGTTACGCTTGACGTAAAGACAATTTCTACACTTTAGCAAAATCGTAATTTGGCACAAAACACTTGAAATTTAACTTCAAATCCAACATGTATGTATCAATACAACATATAATTAGCCAATACAACTCAAAAATCAAACAGAATCCAACATTCATTCATCATATAATATAGATTAAAATAGATCATCATTTTCACCATAAACACATATCATGCAAACAACCCCAAATTCAACATGATTCAACTCAAATTAATACAAAAGGATAATACAACAATGAAATATTTATCTACAACTTGGATTATAAAGAAAATTACAAGCTTAGCTTACCTGGAATCTCTCATAGTCAAGAAAAAGGAGGGAAAATGGTGAAGAACTTGGTCTTTTGAGCTTCATCATGCAACAACTAGAACTTTGGGTTTTCAACACTTTGAGCTTCAAATTTCCACTCAACTCCTTCACTTTGAGCTTTGGGGAAGGATTAGAGCTCTTCGGTGAAGTTAGAAGGTAGAAGAATCTTCTTTGATTCTAGAATCTATCTTACTAAAATCTCTTTGGAATTCTCAAGGAAATGAACTTATAAAGCTCAAGTCTTAAAAAAGCCTTATATATCTTCTTTTAAATTTGGTCAAGTTTAATCTTAACTCAAAACAACTCTCTAACAACTAAACTTATCAAGATTCATTTATCCTTAAAGTTTTAAAACAATATAACAATATATCAACTATTATTCAAATAATTAAAATAATTAAATAAACAACAAATTGCAACACAATGTTACAAAAGAAAATAAATTGATTTGATATTTATATAAAAAAAAACTAACAAAAAAATTAAAGAATCAAAAAAACTAATCTTTAACTAAATGTGTGATTTTATTAGAAGTATTAAATTATAGGCTTAAATAACTTTTTAGCCCCAATAAAATAGTAGGTTTTTGCTTTTGGTCTATTTAATTTTTTCAATTTTGTCTTTATAAAATAAATTTGTTTTAATTTTATCATTACCATCAAATTGATCATTAAATCTAACAAAGAATAATATAAAAATAATAGGGGCCAAAATTTGAAAGAACCACAACAAAAAAAAAACTAAAATTAAGAAGAATAGAAACAAAACAAAAAAATTGTGAGGACAAATTTTTAGTGACGAAATAAAAACCCAAAAAAAATCTTAAATATAAAATTTTATAAAAATCGTATAAGAATACAATCAACTTGATGTTATGAAGGAAATATAACAAATACAAAGCAATGAAAACAAAACATAAAATAAAACAGAATTGATTTGGATGATTTGTGTTTTTTTATGACTTTTTCAAAGTTATGTTTAGTTTTAATTAATTATTTAATCATTAAAGTATTCGTTATAGATTTAATTTTTTTTTACTCTATATTAGTGCATCTATTGCATTTAACCGTTTAAATCATAAATTTAGCTTAAGTAAATAAAGGTTATTTCTTTTTAATTCTATTAAATTTTAGTTCTTCAAAAATTTAGTATTTTTTTTCTTCTGTATTTTTAAATTTTAGTTTTTCTATTATGATCCTATGATTAAGATCAATTTGATGATAAATAAAAATAATAAAACAAAAAGTTTTTACGTGGAAAAAGTTGAAAATACTAAAAGCAAAAACCTGTTATTTTACAAAATAAAAATAAGTTATTTCAACCTATAATTTAATACTTCTAATTGAATATTAATTTTTTTGTCAGTATTTCTTTCAGCACCAATAATTCAATAGAAGAGAGCGAGAGTCACGAACACTAATATAAAATTGATACAGTATTTATTTCAATTCATTTTTTAAAATTCCCATCTATTAAAATTTAAATAAAATAATTAAAATTAATTTTATATTTTAAATTTTGTTCAAATAGGTTGTAAATAAAAGAAAATAAATTAATTTGATATTTATACATAATAAAACTAAAAAAAATAAAAATAGAAGAATCAAAAGAATTAACCTTTAATTAAATGCGATTTTATCATTATCACTTTCTTCGAAAATATTTTTTTATTGATCGTACTAATTTTCTGAAATTTAATCTCTATATGCATGTCAATGTCATTTTTCTTATTTAAATTCAAAGAAAATGTAAACTTAGTTTTTTCATAACCTTTAAAATACTAATAAAACTTCTCAAATTAATATACATATTTTTAAATTGTCTACTCTTATTATCAAATTAACTACAAGTAATATGATAAAATATATCACTTAATATTTAAATTTGAATTGATTATTTAAAAATATTAAAAATAATAATAACTTATAAAAGGACTTAAGACACTATCTTATTGACCTTGTCTTAGATACGAACTTGAGACCCCATTTAAGGTTAATATGTAGGTTATGTGCAGATTTTTTTTGTCTATTAATCTCTTCATAAGATGTGAAATCTCACATGATAGGATCCAATTCTATACATGCATAATTTAGAATGAAGATCAGATGCTCTTTGAAGCCAATTTGTGGTGAGGAAGCTGAAATGGGAAATCACTAAACTTGATGCAGATATACACAGAGAGTAACAATAATTATTGGATTATAGAAAGAGAAAGTTCACTATGTAAACCTGGAAAGTTGCTTTGCAAGACATGGTAGCTAGCAACTAACCACATCCAATTGTATGCACTGGCTGTTAGTTTTAGAGACATAGTTAGTGAGGGTTATGCCCAAAAGAAAGTGGATGGCTATGCAAAGATATGCCGTGGTGAATTTCTTGATGTAACCTAAACTTGATGGTACTTCCTTGAAAATGTCACACGAGCACATCCAAATTCTTATAATCTTCACCCTTATCTTCCAATTCTAACTCTAGTTATCTAATAGAGATGCAACATGAGGGGCTTTCGCTTTCAATTGCTCATGTGGAGGAACAATTCTTTTTAAAATGATATTCTAGTGAGGAAGTCAATAGACTTGCAGTTGCAAGCAAATTGTCACGTAAAAAGGGCCCCCAAAAAAAGTTTACTTCCACACACAATGTTTCACTTGAACTATCAACTTTCAATAAAGTCCTGAATTTGTTCCGTTAGATATTTTAATTTAGTGTTGATAAAGAATAGCCTATACAGTTGCTTTGTGAATTGTGATGCCTTTTACATCAGTTAAAAGTTTATAAAGGTGTTCATTTTAGATTTGATAAAATTTTGGTAAAATTGATTAAAAAAATACTGATTTTGATATAGTGCCTGTTTGGATACACGTTGAATTGATTCAACGTGCGTATTTTCGTGCAAAAGCGTGATTCCTCATGTAGAAAGGATGTTTGGATTTTTTTTCATCACATGATTTTAAGAGTGAAAATTGATTTTGGATGAAGCTGAAAAATATAGCTTCTGCGTCCAGAAAATTGATTTTGATAAATCAATTCTTCAAACGCAAATCCAAACACACACATAGTTGATTTAAAGAAAAATTATGTTTAAATGTGATATTTTAAAGTTAATTAGATGTGAAAAAAACTGTATTTGATTGACAAAGAAAATTATTTGAGACAAAATGAGATTATTTATAAATTTCATACACCAAGTTATTGGTGTGTATTGTCCCCCACTATTTCACAACCAAATAGATGTAATTGTGCAAAATCAAATTGCTACAATGAGGCGTGATTCACCGCATGTTTGGATCAGCATTGCACAACCGTGGATGCAATTAACTACTTCTGAAAGAACTAATGGTTGCCCATGCATTATCTACGAAATTTAATACGAATTTCGCATCAACGCAGACTATCAGATGCAGAACCAAACTCATCCTCAAAAATAATTTTGAATGTTATCTATGCGGGCAATAAATCAATCAGCCAATAGCTCGACATAAATTAAATTCATCACGGATATAGCTACTAAATGGCAAAAATAAAAGAAGCTATTACCAACTACTATAATTTAGAGACAGTTATGTGCCACATAAATATCAAACCCTGTACCCAAAAATGGCCATCCTTGCCTCCTGCCAAAAAAGAAGTAACGATTGTGTATGCCCTGGTTCAAAATACAAAAGCATGTTAGTACCAGCTACTGGGTAGCACCCAGAGTATCTACTTCTACACGTATTTGCACAGCCTCTTCTGCTTTCCTCTCATTAGATTGTTTGTCATTTATTCTCCAGCAATTTTTAGAAAGATGTCCCTTCTTGCCACATACACTACAAGGTATGCTCTTGGTATTAATTTCTGACCTGTTCCTAGGCATTCTCAGTGGCCTATTGTCCACCCTCCTCTGTCCACCTCTATTGGCCAGGTGAAATCCTACACTGTCGTAATGTTCACCCACTTGTTTTACTCCACTGCGAGATTCTTCCTCTATCTGTATACGTTCCATTAACTTCCAGAATGGTAGATACTCCTCACGCATTAACTTGATGCTGAAGTCCTTCCATGATGGTGGAAGTTTTGAAATGATGAGACTAACATGGAAGTTATCATCAAGAAACATTCCAGCAGCAACAATAGAATCTGCAATGCCATTTAATTCTCGGATTTGCTCCATAACTGCTTTCTCATCAACCATCTGAAATTCAATATACTTTTTCACTTGAGATCTCTTGGTTCCAAATTCCTCGTACAGATAAACCAGTTTTAACTCTTCCCACAACTCTTTAGCACTCATTTTTCTGTTCGCATGCAGATTGAACAGATGATCAGATAAATGGTTCAAGATATTGCGATGACACATTAAATCATCATTGAGCCATCTCCTTTCTGCCGCCTTGGCTGCAGCAATTTTTTCAGCACTTGCACCTTCCTCTACAGTGAGGTTTGGGCATGGTTCAGTAAGCACATATTCAATCTTTAATTGTTTCAAGAGTAATTCCATCTGCTGGGCCCAGAATTGGTAATTCTTCCCATCAAAACGGATGACCTCAATAGGGACCTCAAAATGAACAACCTCAGTAGGGACAGGCTCAACAGGAGCAGCATCAACAACTGCATTTGACGCATCTCCATTTTGCTTACCATTATGCTCCAATCTACATTGTGTTGATTATACTTCTAGGTTAGACTATGAAAAAATGTTTTCACTGTTGTCCCAAAGCAACTTTTTACCATGCACTTATATGCATAATCAAATACCTAGCAACATGTTCTCTATCCAACCAAAAAGTAACCGGTAAATATTCAGAATACATAAATTTCTCCAACTAAACTACAACAATGAATGTCATATAATTGGCAGATAATAAACAATCAATATACCAAATGAATAGAAACAAAAATAAGCGTTCTGCACATGAGAACTCAGCAATTTCATCACCACCACATTTTGACACTTAGATGATCAATATCATTCAGAAGACATAAACTTTCATGCTATCACATAACTCATGTGTCAACATTGAATACTCACCGTATCCTCCCTTCCATCTTTGTGATAGCTTCCTCTATGGCAGGAACACTCTTCTTGAAGGTTGACCATTGTTCAGAAGATAAACTTATCCCTAAAATCAGTAGTCCAGGAAAGGGACATGCTTAGTTTCAAAATTCAGAGTAATCAATTTCTCTGCAAAACAGAGCCAAATATATGGAGACAAATTCCAACTCAAGTAATAATCTTCTAAAGCTAAATCAGGGGGCTCAACTCAAAAACTCTAATTTATGCATGTAACAGCTAGCAAGACGACAATAACAATAATAATAGTTTTGTCGCATTATATGATGTCCGTTACTTGGACCACACGACATCATTGGATTCAGTTAAAAACCAAACATGAAATTTACTCTCTTTACTGATGCCTCTAGTTACCTTCTTTGCACATATCCACCTTAATTGATTTTTTGTCATATTTCTTTAATAAAAGCTACCCTAATATCTCCTCATGCCTAGCAAGAAATGACAACTGAGATTTTCACATTATAATGAGACTGCCTTATAAATTACTGGCCGTGGTCAACATCTAAACACATAATTAAGAATGTTACTTAGCTAATAACATTCTAGGTCATATATATTGTATCCTTCACAATTGGAATCCAATTGGGATCAGTTGATCTCAAAGCCTTCTCACACCTAGTACTCATGGCTGCGAGGCTTGTGTACCCTTCAGGATCAGATTCCGATTGGGATCGTCAAATGGAGATAGCAAGGCAGTTGGTTGCATGCCAACCTGGATTACCTAAAAGGGCCTAACTCCATATGTTTCCAGGATTTCCTAAGGGGTTGCTTACCGACCAACCTCTTAGGTTTAAAGGATCAACCTTGTTTCAAGTAAGGAGTCTGAGGACTGATTGAGCCAATCTCAAACCAGAAAGCAATCGATAAACTACATCGGCGAGCCCACTGCCAACTGACCAACCTCAATCTATAATAGAGACGAATCACACTCATAAATGTACAGATTGTCCACCAAAATAGAGAGCAAGTGATTCCGGGATTTTTGGGATTATCTCTGAAAATCTCGGATTCCCTCAGACAAACATTCGTGTATATAACTCAGCTTTGGGGTTAAGATAAATATGTGCTAGGTTACACTATTTGAATATTCTTAACTTGGGCTACCACTAAGTTTCTTTAGAGGAGGTTTTTCATATCAGAACATATATAATCCCTAAAAAAGTACTCATCATCGAGTGTTAAGGGAATCCATGAACTTCAATAAGATAGTAGTCCAAGTCTAATATGGCCTGGACTGGAGACATAGTTCTTATGAGTAAATTCCAGCAACATTTACAGTACAAAGAAGCAGGAAACAACGGATTTTTAAGAGCAAAGCAATGATCATGCAAACAATATATTATGTAATCACCTTTAGAACCAGGAAGTAGTTTTCCGTCTTTGACATAGAACTCCCTAATTGAAACCAGTGTTGTCCCTTTGAAAGCTTTCACCGCCACATTCCTCCTGTTAGACAGCTGCACAAAACAACCAATCTCTACTCAGTCAAAGTGAAATATAACACCAACAAGCACAGATTATAATTTGGAGAGTTGTTCTCTTCATCAACTCAATGAAAAGTTACACAGACTCAGTCCAGCATTCAATTTCAAAATTCTAGGGTTCGTAGTTGAATAGAGAGAGATTGACCTGGCAAATAACGCGCTCGGAATCTTTCCTCGTCACTCTGGCCACCTGTGTGCCTTCTTTGGCGGGAACAACAACATCGTGCTTCTTCTGTACGTCGTCGTTGGCGGGGATATCTTCCTTCTTCTCTGTGTTTTTGGATTTTTCGTTGGCCACAACGGAGACAAGATAAGACTCAACGATGTTTCTGACGAGTTGTTTACCGGTGGAGTGGGAGAGGTCGATGCCAAGGCGCTCGGAAGCAGCGACTCGGATGCTGAATTCAGTGGCTTCTTCTATGTTCGATTTCTTCAGTATGTCCAACACCATGTCCTCAACTTTCCGACGACTCTCCGCTTCCATTGAAAAAAAATCCCCAAAGTCACGTTAAACCAAACAATGAGGGGGAAACCAAATTTGGCCCTTTTATTGTTGTTGAAGCTGCCTCGGTGCTGACGTGTCTAAAACTGAAACTGAGATGTAATAAATTAATATGAGAAATTCTATGGTACCCATCTTATTTGAGAGGGTACCGGTACAGTTTTTTATATTTTATATTTTTAGTAATTTATTTAAATAATATTTATGATATTTTATTTTTTTAATTTTTAAATTATTTAGTCATTTTATTTTTATTTTATATATTTTAATTTATTTGTAATAATATTATTATATATTTAAATAGTTTTATTTTAATAATTTTTTAAGTATATTTTTATCTTTTCACTTAAATTTTTTGAATTTTTATATTTTAATTTTAATAATTTTTTAAGTATATTTTTTGTTTTTTTGTCTTAAATTTTTGAATTTCTATATTGTAATTTTAATAACTTTTTATTTCTACTATTTATTAATTTTTTTTTCTTTAATATTTTATAATATTATTGAAAACTTATAATTTTAATCTCTATAATTTTATCTTACATTTTATTTTATAAGTATAATTTAGATTATTTATTTTATAATTAAATTAATTTTTTTAAAAATTTTTATGAGTTTACATAGAAAAATGTATTGAAACCCTTCCATCTTTGAGGGTACCGTAGCAACTCCCAATTAATATTTGTTCTTACCAAGACTTGAACCTGGGGTTACTTGGTACCGAGTCCATTGTCCTCACCACTAGACCATCGAACTATCAACTACATTATCTAACATGAGAAAAAACATAACATGGCACAAAACTTCCATGGATGCTAATAAGGTAATATGGCTATGCTAGTAACGTCAAATACCATCATACAAAATAAACATGTGTAGTGATCCCACTTCAGCAAAAGAAATTACGTATGGATTTTGATACTATTTTAATTAAAATCATCTCCAACTCCAACTCAAACCTACTAGGCCTAAAATTCAATGGCCAAAAAAACAATGATCTCATGACCACCAAAGCTCTTTATATAACTCCGTGCCCTTAACCTTTTGTTGCAAAAGCACGAGACAACTACTTTTTATCTTGATGAGGGAATTAAATTATTCTCAAACCTCAAACAAATTATAAATAATAAGTTTGAAGTATTACTAGATGTCAGTTATATAAGAGTGGCCAACAATTCTCAAAAAGAAAACACATGTGATGATATACAAGCATCAACCAACAATTCCTAAGCTATGGTCACATAAAGGCTATGACCTATACCTATTTCTTTTATTATTTCCCTGAGAATTTTTTAAGATGTATTTATAATCTCGTGGAACATTAAAGGAACTGTTAGTTAATGTACTAAGCAACTTGTTAAACAATTGGTCACAACTCATAAGTCATCCCTACCTTTACTCTGATACACATACTCAATTTGACAAGGAAACTAAAGGACATGTTGGCAGTATATAGGTTTTCTCCAACAAGTAGGATATAAACCTAACCTTATTACAATCCATGAATCAATGTATTGCCTTTTTCTTTAGAGAGACCCAATACAAAGTGGTTATGCTTCGCAATATATGGTTGGCCTATTCATACTTCACGATAATTGTTATGAGACCAGATTTTTTTAAATTGAGTTGTTCATTTTACTTTGTTGGTTATGGGGAACGTGAATAAAATATTACACCCTTTTGGAGGTGGTTGGAAATCTTATCAATAATCCATATCCATATTTTTTTATAGTGTTATGACTCAATGCGGCCTCATAGATATGGAAATTGTTGGGGTGAAGTTCATGGGATGAAAAAACATCAAAGTAAGAGGCCAGTTTCAAAAGGAGTTTGGCTAATGCAGATTTAAGGATTGTTTTTCCTCTTCCTTTGGTAGAGATTCTCATTACTTATAATTCTGACCAATCATTTTTAACTTTGTTGTCGCAAATTAGACACACTGGAAGTTTCTTCCTTCCATTTCCAAGTTGCATGGATTTCTCTCCCTTAATACGAGAGTATTGTCACACAAGCTTAGAAAAATACTAGTGGTGATGCCAATCTACACAAGGTGAGAGATGAGTTTATTAAGTTGATTAATCGATCTCCCCTATCACTATGTTAATATTTTTGGTGTTCCCTAAATTGAAGATCATGCCTATTAGGTTCTCGTTCCTCCTGTTACTCATAAGAAATTTATGAATGCTTTATTTTCAATGAATATAAGGCTCCTATTGAAGACTTTTATACATTCTTCTTCAAAACTTTATGGTTCACCATCCAGAATGACATTTGGAGGATGGTTGCATATGTTTTTCTCATTAGCTATTATCTCACCCCTAACTTACAAAGATTTTGATTGTTCTCATTCCAAAGTCAAATACTCTTACGCCTATTCGAGAATTTAGTGCAATTAGTTTGTGTAATGTTTTATCCAACTAATCTAAATGCCCATAAATATAATCTAACTCCGTCTTGATTTTGTAATGAGAACATGAGCAAGATGAGATACATTATGTTGAAAATTAACTTTGAAAAAACTTATGACTAAGTTGATTGGAGATCCATAAGGGTTAAACTTTTTAACTTTGATTTCCTTACAAATATTGTTTACCTAATTATGAATTTCATCACTTCTACCACCATGCATTTGAAAAGGAATAATTTGAAGTTGTCCTTTTTTTTCTCTCTTTATTGAGTACTTAAACAAAGAGATCCTTGATCCCCATACTTATTTATGCTTTGTATGGAAAAACTTGTTCTTTTAATTCAAGATATTGGTGAAAATTGGCATCTAGTCACAACCTCTACACGTGGTCTCAAGATCTAATTTTTTCACAATTATCATTTAATGATATGTTTTTTTTATAAGATAGGAACATCTTGAAATCAGGTAAAGGAACAAAGAAAAAACTTGACCCTAATCGTGACTCGCGAGCTAAACCAAAGTTATTAAAAGAAGCGTGACCCTAATTGCGACCTGTCAGTAGAATCAACACTATCAAGTTTTTATATAATAATAAAGGAGAAAGTTTTCACCGTGAGAAACTCACAATTTGAGTAATATTCAAGTTTGTATTGGATGATATGCAACCTCTCACTTACAATCATTACTTTTCACTAAGTCTGCACTAGGAATTAAAGTCCATTAACATTTATTTTGCACTAAAAAGCTTAAAATACTAAAATCTGACTTAGCAATATGAAAAGCCATCTAACTTATTTAATAAAAAAAATGAAACTTACATGAAAAATTAAGAAGTGGGGTTAAGTAACTTTGAAGTCCAAAAGCTAAGTAAATCGACTAAATAAAGTTCAGTTCACTGTAGCATCTTTTAATTGGTGTTGGGCTCTTCAAAGTATTATTTCTAACTCTTTTAGATATTCTTTTAATCATTTGGTCTTTCATCAATTCTGTACGGGATCCTACCGGCCACGTGGACTAACACGTGTCGTCCCGTCAGACTCCCACGCGGACGGGAAACAATTACCATGCCCACACGAACCTTGACGTCAACGTCGGCTCGGCATACAGTCGAGGGCCGAGAAGAGTTCGCTAGTAACCTCGGCTCGGCTGAAGATCGATAAGGAGCACCACTATGCGTCTCCGTATGCCACGTACCGACCCGACCGAATGCCGGTAGATCCTGGATAACCGAACAAATTCCTGTCGGCTCGGTTAACAGCCGAAGACACCCAACATTCCGAGTGTTTGCCTGTCGGCTCGATAATGAGCCGAAGGATAAAGAGATTACGGCAATAACCACGATTAATCAAGACAAACACATGATTAAGACATAATCAGCCGATTAGCGTCGTATTACCTAATTTGGTAAGCTTCAGAAAAGGCCCACCACTAACAGGGCCCATAAAAGGTAGTATAAATAGGTCACTTATAATGAGGTACGTCACTGTTCATTTGGATTACCCTAGAAAATCGTGACTGTGCTGACTTGAGCGTTGGAGTGCCTTTTGCAGGTACCTCCCCCCTCCGAAGTATCTACCTGAAGCTCCAGTTCGGCCCTTCACCTCCCAGAAGATTACGAGTGTACCTTAAGACAAGTACATTTTGGCGCCCACCGTGGGGCCGAACCGATAGCTTTTCAGAGACAGATTGAGCACTACGTTGAAGAGAATTATGGCAAAGACAAGAAGAACTAACGTTGAAGACCACCAGTCTGAAGATGAGCACCAGTCCGGAGCAGACAATGTCGAGACGGTAGAGGAGACAAACTTGACCGATATGGTACGCCAAATGAAAGAAGAAATGGCCGCCATGAAGCAGCAACGGGAGAGAGACGTTGACGAGATGGCTGTGTTGCGAGAAGAGAATGCCGCCCTCAAAAACCAGTATCGGGATCCCACATGGAAGCCCTCTGAGACGAACCACACTCAGGGGTCGTTTCACTCGCTCGGCAATCACTCCTCCATCCCTCACACTTCTGTTGTTGCCCAGGCGTCCATGCTTCGGTCGGTCGGCCAGTACATCCAGTGCCAGCTGGAGCACACCGACACCCCTTCACCCCAAACATCATGCAGTCGTCACTTCTCGATCATTGGAAGTCCCTGCCACTTGACAAGTACGATGATACGATCGATCCGGACGAGCACTTCGATGTGTTCCTGACTCAAGTCACTCTGAGCACCAATGATGATGCGACTTTGTGCCGAATCTTCCCAACGTCGTTGAAAGGACGTGCGTTGAGCTGGTTCACTCGACTTCCTGCTAACTCGATTGACTCGTTCAACACGTTAGCCTCTCAGTTCACCATTCAATTCGCCACGAGCCGCCCCCACCAGCTGACCTCGTTGGGATTAGTCAGCATTTGTCAGTAGAAAAAGGAGTCCCTTCGGACGTTCATGAGCCGATTCAACAAAGCGGCGCTCGAAATCCGAGACTTGAACCCTGTTGTGGCTCTACACCACCTCACCACCGCTTTGAAACCAGGTCCCTTTGCCAACAACATTTGCAAGAAGCCACCGACTGACATGGATGACCTGCGGCGGCGAGCCGACAAATACATGCAAATGGAGGAATTAGCTGAGTTCCGCAACCAGGCCAGAGCAGAGGTAGCGGCGAAGCCTGAAAAGCCGGCCGAAAACACTTTTCGTAACCGTCAGAAAGAACTGGTCCCTCGCGAGAGGCCCCCCCGCGGACCGAGGTATTCTCAACATACGCCGCTCAACACCAGCCGGTCGGCAATACTAGAGCAAGCACTTGCTTCGGAGGTGCTAGCCGTCCCGAAAAGAGCTTCGACCCCTCCCAGGGTCGATACTACCAATTCTTGCAGGTACCACCGCAACCGTGGACATTCGACGGAGGAATGCTCGGCCCTGAAGGATAAAATTAAAGATTTAATCAAGGAGGGGCAGCTACAAGGCTTTGTGGACCGACAGAATTCATCCCGCTACGCAGATCGGTCTCACCGACAGGATCATCATGAACAAAGGACAGGAACACGCTCATACCGAGAGCGCAGTCGGTCAAGAGATCGAAGAGAAGGGGAACCTTCAGCACAACCCCGACGGGTTATCAACACCATAGCTGGTGGATTCGCGGGCGGTGGCTCCTGCTCGTCGGCGCAACCGAGGCACTTGCGGGCCGTTCGGCACGTGTATGCAGTGGAGAAAGTCGGTCGCCATTTGCCTAGCATAACCTTCACCGAGGCGGATTTCAAAGGTATCGACCCGGAACAAGATGATCCGATGGTAATCAGCGTTGAAATTTACAACTGTATTGTGTGTAAGACCTTGGTTGACCAGGGGAGTTCAGCCGACATCCTTTATTAGAACACGTTCAAGCAATTGGGCATTCTGGAATCCGAGCTAGTTCCTTATGATGAACGTCTGGTTGGGTTCTCAGGTGAACGGGTCAAGACAAAAGGATATATCAAGTTGTCAACCCGGTTTGGGTTTGAAGGATCAGAATACCGAGATATTTCGGTTAAGTATGTGGTAGTTCACGCCAACACATCTTATAACATTCTGCTCGGCTGGCCATCCTTGAATCGGCTCGGAGCGGTCGTATCCACTCCTCATCTAGCCATGAAGTTTCCATCCGATTCGGGACAAGTGATCACCATCCACGCCGACTAGAAAACCGCACGCGAGTGCTACTTCGTTAGCTTGCGATTACCGAAAGCGAATAAAGAAATCACCGAGGAGCCGAAACGCATCCATTCAGTGTCACAGCATTCGGCCATTGACCTTGACCCCCGAATTGACCAGGATGAGAGGGTTGAACCCATCGAGGACAAGTAGCCTCTTCGGGTAGGAGTCTCGGATTCCCAGCTCATTTACCTCGGAACTGTCCTCTCCGAACAAGAAAAATTAGCTATCGGACAGGTAGTTCTCGACAACAGAGATTTGTTTGCATGGCATCCCTCCGACATGTCGGGCATCGACCCAGATTTCCTTTGCCACAAGCTCTCAATCAGTAAGGAGGAAAAGCCGATCGCCCAACGGCGTCGGAAGGACGGGGAAGAGAGGAAGGCAGCGATCGAAGTGGAAGTCTCCAAGTTGTTAGATGCTCGGTTCATCCGAGAAGTACACTATACAACATGGCTGGCCAATGTTGTCATGGTCCGGAAGCCAAATGGAAAGTGGCGTATGTGTACTGATGACACCAACTTAAACAAGGCATGTCCGAAAGACGCCTACCCATTGCCGAATATTGACCGACTCGTTGATGGAGCATCCGGTCACAAATTCTTATCCTTCCTTGATGCATACTCGGGATACAACCAGATCCGTATGCACCCCCAAGACGAAGAGAAGACGACGTTCATTACCAAAACGACCAACTACTGCTACCGGGTAATGTCGTTCGGTTTGAAGAACGCCGGAGCCACATATCAGCGGTTGATGAATAAAATTTTTCACGACCAGATTGGTCGAAGCAAGGAAGTATATGTCGACGACATGGTCGTGAAGTCGAGTGACGTCTCCACCCATGTGCGTGACTTGGCTAAGGTATTCCAAGCGCTTTGGCAGCATCAAATGAGGCTGAATCCCGAAAAGTGCGTGTTTGGGGTTTCAAGCGGGAAATTTTTTGGATTCATGTTGTCTAACTGACGCATTGAGGCAAACCCCGACAAGTGTCAAGCCATATTGGATATGAAGAGTCCCGGTACTCTTAAAGAAGTGCAAAAGCTAGCAGGCCGACTCACCTCGCTCTCCTGATTCCTTCCTCGCCTGGCCGAAATAGCCCAGCTGATTCTACTCTTGCTAAAGAAAACAGAGCGATTCAGCTGGACCCGAGAATGTGAAGAATCATTCCAGCAATTCAAGGAACGTCTTAGCGCGCCTCCTATACTCTCTAAACCGGTTAGCAACCTCGACATGATTGTCTACCTGGCCGTATCAAGCTATTATGTGAGTGTCGTTCTGGTGCAAGAAAACCAAGGTAACGAACAACCCATGTACTTTATCAGCCGGACGTTGCAGGATGCCGAGAGGCGCTACCAGTTGTTGGAAAAAGTGGCTTTGAGCCTTATCTACATCGCCCGCCGGTTGAGGCAATATTTCCAGAGTCACAGGGTAGTAGTCCGAACCGATTGCCCGATCGCAAAGGTCCTCCAGAAACCAGAGATTGCTGGCCGAATGATGGCATGGTCAGTAGAACTCTCAGAGTTTGATGTGGCTTTTGAGCCAAGGGGTCCCATCAAGTCGCAGCATCTGGCCAACTTTGTCAATGAGCTCACCCCTTCGGGATGTTTTGAAGACGAACCGTGGACCATGCACGTCGATGGGTCTTTCAATGCCCAAGGTAGCGGCGCCGGAATAATACTTGCTAGCCCCTCGGGTATCACAGTCGAACAATCCTTTCCGTTCGGCTTTCGTGCGTCAAATAACCAAGCAGAGTACGAGGCCCTGATAGCTGGTATGAAGTTAGCAAGTGAGATGGGAGTCAAGAAAATCATATGCTGGACCGACTCCAAAATTGTGGCCGAACAGGTCAACGACAATTTCCAGGTTAAAGATTCATACTTGTTGCGATACTATCACCTGTTCCAGCAACTAAAGGAACACTTCAATGAAGTTCAGATACGACATACCCTGCACAATAACAACGAACGAGCTGACCAACTGGCTCGGCTCGCTAGCAACCGAAAACCCCGACAGTTGCGATCCACTATTCATCTTGAGATTTCCACCCCGAGTGTGACAGCCGAATGCATGGCGATAAATGAAGACGCACCCTCATGGATAACCCCCATTCAGAAGTATATCGTTAATGGTGAACTTCCGGCCAACCCAATAGAAGCAAAGAAATTACGAACACAAGCGGCTCGGTATTCAGTGGTGGCCAACGAACTTTACCGGCGAGGATTCTTCACCCCGCTGCTCAAATGCATTGACAACCACCAGGCCGATTATGTCCTGCGTGAAATTCACGAAGGTATATGCGGCTCCCATTCGGGCGGGCAAACCATGGCGGCTAAAGTCTTGCGAGCCGGCTATTATTGGCCGACTCTGAAGGGAGATTGCGCCGAGTTCGTCAAAAAATGCGTGCAATGTCAAAAGCACGAGAACCTCATCCACGCCTCGGTCGCCGAGTTACACAACATCAGTTCTCCGTGGCCGTTCGCCTTGTGGGGTATCGACGTACTTGGACCATTCCCCGTGGCAAAAGGGCAGGTCAAGTTTCTCCTGGTCGCAGTGGATTACTTCATGAAGTGGATCGAGGCCGAGCCACTTGCCTGCATTTCCACTGCCAACGTTCAGAAGTTTGTTTGGAAGAACATTGTTACCCGTTTCGGCATCCCA